TTTTTTAAAATATTTTTAGTAGAGTGGGGGTTTCTCCCTGTTGGTCATGCTGGTCTCAAACTACCGACCTTAGGTGGTCTGCCCACCTCAGCCTTCTAAAGTGTTGGGATTACAGGCGTGAGACACCGCACCCAGCCAATTTTTGTTTTTAAGTAGAGACAGGGTTTCACCATGTTGGCCAGGATGGTCTTGAACTCCTGACCTCAAGTGATCCACCTGCCCCAGCCTTCCAAAGTGCTGGGATTACAGGCGTTAGCCACCGCACCCGGCCCAGCTTAAGGTTTAACTCATACACCATACAATTCACCTAGTTGAAGCAATGGTTTTTAATGTCACAAAACAGTGCAACCAATACCATAATCAGTTTTAGAACACTTTCATCACTCTCCCCAAAAGCCCTGTGCCCATTAGTAGTCAAGCCCTATTTTCCAAATTTGTGCTTTTTAACAATGGGTAGCCTAATTTGCATCTCCAAGGAAGTGTATTATGCCCTGAAGTTTTCTTTTTTAAAGCATTAAAAATTGTTTTTTAAGCATTTCAGTCTTTGAGAATATCTTCGGATCCAGGTTTTCTTGGTCTGTAAAATACTCCCCAGGAACTAAAAGACTAAAGCGCTGAGCTAATGTATGTAGTGGCTCGGTCTTTTCCTGCCCTGTGATTGAACCCACTTTAGCTCTAAGGGGGGCAAAGGAACAGAATCCCAAGTATTGGAAAGAACAGTGTTCTTATCCTTCTTTTATATTATCATATGCTCCTGTTTTTCTTTTAGAAAGAGAGTAGCTACAACAATTGTACTATGAATTCCATTTGAAACTGAGTTGTTTCAGATAAAAAAATTGCTTCAAAGACACTGTGATATGTTACCCTATATACCATGAAACTGTGATAAGAAAATTCCGTTTGAATACTTTACTTTTCCTTATATGTTTCCTTTATATTTTCCTTTATAGTTTTCATTAACTTACAGGCATGCCTTACATTTCAGGTAATTCTGAACTATATGATTTTGATTCACTTTGATTACTCTGTTGGAGTCTTGGGTTAAACAGAAAATGGTAGCAGAAAGGTTGATTTTTTTTTTTTGTTTGTTTTTGTTTTTGGTAGCACTTATGGAGGAATGGATTTGGAGCTCATACATACTAAAAGACTGCATGTTGTAGGTTTGTTTTAATATGAGAGTGGAAATGAGATGCAAGTCTTAGAGGATTTTCTGTGGTGGAAGTACCTCATTTCAGATTGTGGAGCTAACAATCTGGATTTGGTTTTTGATAAGCCAATGGATTCTCATCCAGAAGAGACCCTTGCCTTTCCACCCAATTTAGGCTTCCTTAATTTTATCAGATGTTGAGTGGTAGCCGTTGTTCTAAGCACTGGAGGTACTGTGGTGAACAAATAATAAAGGTGATGGCATCATGGACATGGCTGGTGGATTAAACCAAATATGAAACAAAAATATATAGTAATTACTAACTTGAAAAATACAGAATATAATGAGAGCATAGAATAAGCGGGTCTAATTTAAATTGGTTGGAAGGACCTGGTGAGATAGCTCACGACTGTAATCCCAGCACTCTTGAGAGGCCGAGGTAGGAGGATCGCTTGAGGTCAGGAGTTTGCAACCAGCCTGGCTAACATGGTGGAACTGTGTCAGTATGAAAAAGACAAAAATTAGCCAGGTGTGGTGGCAGACACCGGTAGTCCCAGCTACTCTGGAGGCTGAGGCAGGAAAATTGCTTGAACCCAGGAGGTGGAGGTTGCAGTGAGCCGAGATTATGCCACTGCACCATAGCCTGGGCAACAGAGCAAGACTCCCTCTAAAAAAAAAAAGTGATTGATTTTTGTGTGCCAATCATATTTTGGATTTGTTTGAGAAGGGCAAGAGAGAGAAGCAGGATTATAGGAGGTTATTGCAGTGTTTGTTCCTAGTGGGGGTTTTGGTTTCCCTTAGCCTGGAAAGATGGGAGAGAAATAGTGGCTGTGAGAAATTTTGGATTTTTAATTATGATCGTTTGTCTCAACATTTTTTGGACCATAGGCTTTGGAATAAAATGGCAAATCTATTTTTGTACTTAGTTGGATTATTAACAGTAGAAAGAGTGCAACTTGAAAGCTTCTTTGGAATAAAAATGTCACTGGGCTGCCAAACATGGAAGCTAACTGGGCTGTATGTCACAAAATGAACAATTTATAAGCTAGAAATAAGTTACTTATGAAAATAATTCTGTGGTTGCATTGATTAAACAACATATTAGGAATTTGAAGAGATGAAATGGTCTGTTAATAACTGTCTTTGAGACAGCAGAAGCTACAAAGTGTAGTTTCTGGTTAACTGGGAGATTAACATTTGATTCCTTATTTGTGTTAGAAACTTATTCCTCCTTGAAGTTAATGTCTTTAACACAGTAAAGCAGCAGGGATGACTTGGATCTTTTGTATTAAAAGAAAAGTTGATTTGTTTACTAAAGCTTCAGACTGCTTAATACCACTTCTCATATATCTTAATGCAGAAGTCATGAAAGTTTTTTTTTCTTTTGAGATGGAGTCTCGCTCTGTTGCTTAGGGTAGAGTCCTGTGGTGCAGTCTCAGCTCACTGCAGCCTCTGCCTCCCAGGTTTAAGCAATTCTGCCTCAGAC